CAGAGGGCATGGAGGAAGGTAGAGTCTCCAGTGAATAGTGTCCAACCTGTCCAGGAAGGGCTGATGAAATGAAATACAGATGGGTCTCTTGTGATGCAATGGTGAATAATTGTTATCAGGACTGATTGTGAGGGTTGAAAATCTAAAGGTGGACATTTGTAGCAAGGAGGGGAGTGATTAACTTTTCAGTCTAGGAGCGGAGGACCCTAGGACCACTAATGGAGAAAAGTGGAGAGTGGGATCCTATCCAGAGAAGCGGTGAGGCCTGAGATTGAGGCAGAGAAGATGAAGTCAAGAGATGGTATGGCTGGGGACTCAGGATCAGGAGATGGAAAGGGGACTGTGTGTGGGGGGGGAGGTTCAGGCTACAGGGTACACCCTTTGGTTGGGTGAGGCTGCATGGACGGGATGGTAACTATGCCAATGGAATGATAGATGATGGAATGAATGTAAAGTTAATGTTCTCCCATGTAGACTATCACACAATTCACAATAAAACATTAAAAAAAAAAAATCCAAGGTTGTATGTCTCAACAACAGCAACCAAAAAAAAAGCAAACAATCCAATTAAAAAATGGTAGAAGACATGTACAGAAACCATCAAAGAAGACACTCAGCTGGCCAACAAATAGAAGAAGTGCTCATGATCGTCAGTCTTTAAAGAGAGATGTAAATCAAAGCAACAGAGAGATAGCTCACTGCAATATTTATAACAAAGTTAAAGAAAAAAAAAAAAAGAGAAAACAGTGAATACTGCTGAGGGTGTGGAGAGATTGGAACCCTCACACACTGCTGGTGGGATTATAAAATGGTGCAACTATTGTGGAAAACAAGGAGCTCTGGTAGTGTAGTAGTTATGAGTCAGTCTACTAACCTCAAAGGTCAACAGTTCAAAACTACCAGCCGTTCCATGGGAGAAAGATGAGGATTTCTGCTCCCATAACCATTTACAACCTCAGAAACCCTATGAAAGTTCACTATGAGTTGGAACCAACTCCATGGTATACCACCTCCACCACTACTGTGGAAAAGAGCATGACACTTCCTTAAAAAGTTGGAAATAGAAATACATATGAGGTAGCACTCCCATACTAGGTATGTTTCCTAGAGAAATAAGAGCAATGACATGAATAGACATAGGTACACCCATGTTCACCACAGTGTTGTTACTAACAAGAGCAAGAAGATGGACTTAAATATCCGTCAATGGAAGGATGGGTAGACAGACTATGGTATGTATGCACAATGGATACATTAATGAATAAAGATGAATCTGGGAAATACCTCACAACATGAATGAACCTGCAGGCCATTATGGTGAGTGAAATAAGTCAACACAAAAGGACAAATATGAGCTCACTACTATAAAAAAGCTAATAAAAGATTTACATATTAAAAGGAGCATTCTTTGATGGTTATCATGGGTAGGAGGGAAAGGCAGGATAAATTAGTAACTAGAGGCTACATAAGGAGCTCTGGTAGCGTAGTGGTTATGAATCGGGCTGCGAACCTTAGAGGCTAGCAGTTCGAAACTACCAGCCGTTCCGCGGGAGAAAGATGAGGCGTTCTGCTCACATAAAGATTTACAGCCTCGGAAACCCTGTACAGGGTCGCTATGGGTCGGAAACGACTCGACGGCACTTAACAACAACAACAAAGAGGCTACATATTAACAATAAGAGAGAGGCCAGCAAAAGAATTATGAAGGCAAAGGAGGACACTGGGAGAACAAGAGTTAAAGGCAACAGAGGCAAATACTAGTATATACACGATCCTGCAGTATCAACAGCCTGCTAGTGGATGCCTAGACAGACACACAAGCTGAACAGGTTATAGGAAGGAGAAATATAGGAATTTGACAGGAGCTGTTTCTACATACCCAGCGACCACTACCAACTACTCTGAAAGGGAGCACATTAGAATGTCCTGGGTAAAGTGGGAGAAAAATGTGGAAAATTCAAAATCATACAAAAAGACCAGTCTTACTAGTTAGATAGAGGCTGGTGGGACCATTGGACTATGGCCTTTGGTCATCCTTTAGGTCTGGAACTGAACCCACCCCTGTGACTTGATATTCAGCCAAATAATAAACACGTCTACAAGGAGCTCTGGCAAACCGCAAGGCCAGCAGTTCGAAACTACCAGCTGTTCCGCAGGAGAAAGATGAGGCTTTCTACTCCTGTAAAGATTTACAGCCTTGGAAACCCTGTACAGGGGTCGCTGTGAGTCAGAACTGACTCCATGGCACATAACAACAACAACAGGGAAACAATAGTACTGGGGAGAAATGTACCCTTTAGAATAATCCACGATTTGTGATCAAAAGGGCAGCATTTGCCCACGGACAAAGTTCAGAAAGGTTAGGAAAGAAGGAATGGAAATGAGAACCACAGGGAGGAAGAGGGATAAGTGATGCTACATTGTGAGGTTAGCGATCAATGACATAAAACAAAAAGTGTATGAGTTGTTGAAAGGAAAACTGATTTGCTCTGTAAATTCACACCCAACTCCCAATAAAAAATAAATACTGCATAAATAAAATCTCAGACTGAAGAAATTATTGCTTTACTGGATTCAGAAATATTGTCTAAGGAATATAGCTAAAATGAGTGCAGGGAGAGGAAGTCTGGTTTCCTTGACTTTTGTTTGTATCCTTGGTTTTTCCTCATAATTCATAGAAAAACATCTAAGGACCCACTGAGCAAGATAATGGCCTGGAGAAAAAGGAAAGGCAATATACTGACATTGTTATACTGACATTTATTATTTACCAAAAAATAAAAACTGAAATACAGAAAAAAACCAAACACTTTTAAATTAAAATTTAAAACAATCTCCAATCTGCAAAAGTAGGGCATTCATTGGATGTGAGTAACAGAATATACAACAGTTGTAAAAATGTGAAATGTAGTTCCAAGTATATTCATATTCCTTTTAAATTCCTTATGAATAGGATTCTATTCTTACTCTATTAAGATTAGATGAGCCAATCCACTTAGTTGTGGCTAACTTAACACTCAGAATTTGGACAAGTTTTAATACAAATGGGAGATACAAACACCAACCAACCATTCCAACTGTCTCAGTCCTTTGTCATTTGGGCTCCTAGTTCCCACTGGCCTGGTTTGCTGATACAAACCATGTTTCTTATGTTATTTTTTAAGTCACTTTCTCCCAGAGCAAAAGTCACTCAGAAGGAGCAAACCACTTTGCTTTGGAAACCAAACAGACGCTAGTCCGTTGGTATCATGTGATACAATTCATTTTGAACTCCATTTTGGAGTATGGGAATATTTAGGAGGATATACCATTTAGAGATGTATTTTGTGGTAATCACTAGCTTTTTGACATCTTCCGTGGCCTGGAAAGGGAATTAATTAATTAATTAATTAAAGAAAGAGGAATGAGCGAGATGGTTTTCAAAGGGAAGTTTCTGAGATGAGTTGGAGGTGGTATGGGGAAAAGTATTGATGTTGATAACTAGCCAATATCAGATTGTAACCTCTACATCCCTGCAAAGGTTTGATGTGTTTGTAGAGGGCTAAAGATAGTAGCTACTACCTTGTGATGACCAGGTCAGGCTGTGAGACTGATGGATCAGCCATGCAATTTGGATATGGTCCACTGGTTCAGAAATTGCAGAAAGGTTTATGGCAGCAATGAGTTGAGTGAACTTCAAAAGCTGCCACAGTTCTCTTGAAGCACTGATTCTTGTTCACTGTGCAGCCTTTCACGGAATACCACTGAATGCCAACTGAGGGAAACAAAAGAGACAGACGTAGGGGAATACTGTTTGGGAAGTACAACGTACCAGTACACAAATGCATGAGATAGTAGATTAAAGATAGTGAAACAAAGCAAAATCACTTTGTTTATCGTGATACAAATCTAGCATTTCTACCAGAAATAATGACTTGTCCAATCATCTTGTCTTTAAGGATGCTCACCAAAAGATACCCCAGTAGGTACACTGTATGACACAAGCTTTAAAATCATAAAGCAAAATAGTCTTTGAACCAGATTATAAAAAGCACACAGTCATCATTAGGTATGTAGACATTTCTGAAGTGTTTGCTGTTTGGAACCTTCTTGATCATCATCCCACAATTTTACTCAGGTCATAAGTTATCCAAAAGGGTGGAACAGCAGCATTATTAAGATGTGATAAGTGCTTTTCAGAAATGGAGAGTGGTCATCGACCTCACTTAATTGTCTCCCTGATTACAAAAGTCATGAATGTTCACTGTAGACAACTTGAAAAACACATATAAGTACAAAATAAATGACAACAGTGTCCTATGAGTCTACCATCCTGAACATTAATTGCTTTAACCAAAGGGAGCATTTGTGTAGATGTGGCAAAATGTGTGATGGTTGGAAATTTGATAAGAGTGATTTCTCAGCTGGGGGTGATTTTTATCTTTCTTTTTCCAGGGGTTATTAACAATGTCCAGAGATACTTTTGTTTTCACAAGCTTGGGGGCAACTGGAACAGGTAGGCCATTTCAATTGCTTTACTATTAAAATATAATGCTGCAGTGACAACTTTACTACACACCTTTTTTTATTTACACATACATATTTCTTTGAGGTAGATACTAAGAAGTAGATTTGCTTTGTAGAAGGGTGTGCTCATTTAAGATTTTAAAGTTGTTGTTAAGTGCTGTTGAGTCAATTTCAACCTATAGCGACCCTGTATAGAGTTTCCAAAGAACAGCTGGTGAGTTTGAATCACCGACCTTGCAGTTCAAACAACTTCGCAGTCTGATGCATTAGCCCACAGAACCACACCAGGACTCCAGGATTTTTAATAGGAATCACTAAACTGTCTCAAGAAAATGCTAAATCAACCTGAACTGCTATTGGAAACAGATGAGAGCTTTCTTTCTTCACACTAACTTTACAATTTATATTAATCTGATGAGCTAAATGCTTTATATTATTTGTGTAATTTGGCTTCCCTTAATTTTACAAATAAGATTAAGCCTTCTCTTGTGTTTTGTTTCTATGCTCTTCATATTTCCTTTCTGGAGAAATGCCTTTACATGATCCTTCATAATTTTCTTTTGTTTTTTGATTGTTGGTCTTTTAAAATTTGTTTTGTAAAAACTATTTTATTCTAGATATTGATATTTTTTTGTGCTATGTATATTCCAAATGCCTCAACCAGTTTCTTCTTCTTCTTTAAAATTTTGGGGTTATTGTTCTTTTTGTGATGTTTCAAATTTTGAAATATTCAAATTTATTACTTCCTTTACGACTTCTGCACTTTGAAAGTTAAGGGGCCTGCTCTCTTTCAAGTTTAAACATTTTCTTCTAGTATTTTTTTCCTACTGTTTCGTCATTTGAGTTTGTTTTTTTTTTTTTGTGTGTGTGTGTGTGTGTGTGTGTTTAACTGAGGAGCTCAGGTAGTGTAGTGGTTATGAATCAGGCTGCCAACCTCAAGGTTAGCAGTTCAAAACTACCAGATGTTCCATGGGAGAAAGATGAGGCTCCTGTAAAGATTAATAGCCTCAGAAACCCTGTGCAGGGGCTCTATGAGTTGGAACAGACTACACAGTACTTAACAAAACAACAGCATCCCCAGGAAAAGCCGGGGCCTTAGGGGGATGAGACTGTGAAATAGCACAAAGCACCTGATCACCACTAGTTTTCAGGTTCTGTTTTTAGTAAGAAATTCTCTGTTTTGAACTTCTTAATAAATTTTGAACAAGGGAACCTGCATTTTCATTTTGTTCTTTATTGTTGTTTTTAGATGCAATTAAGTTGGGTTCCAAATCACTGGGACCCATATGTACAGCCTGGCCGTCCTGTACCATCCTCACAGTTGTTGCTGTGCTAGAATCTATTGCTGCCGTCACCGTGTCAGTTTTGCCCTGAGACCTGTAAATTATATATGGTGATTTTTTTGTGAGGATGTGAGTGGTGTGGTTAAGGCATTATATGCCTTCATTAGGAATGTGCTCTAGTGTCAGAGTACCTGCATTTGAATCCTAGCCACACCACTAATTATGTATAACTCGACTTTACGAATTGGGCTGTGAACCTCAGGGTCAGCAGTATGAAACTACCAGCTGTTCCGCAGGAGAAAGATGAGGCTTTCTGCTCTCATAAAGATTTGCAGCCTTGGAAATTCTATACAGGGTCACTATGAGTCGGAACCGACGCCATGGCACATAACAACAGCAACTATGCAATTACTTTATCTTTTTATGCCTCATATTTTTCGCCTTTAAAGTGGGGATGTTAATAGGATCCAGCTCATATCATGGTTATATTGGTACAGTGTGTAACAACCGGCATGTAGCAAATGTTCAATGAATGTTTATTGTTAAATAA